ATTTATAATTTATATAGAAGGGCAATAGAGATATTTAATTAAATTACTGTGAATATTCTTAAATCTTACTCATAGCTGTTTTGTTGAATGTCTCATCTGTTTCCTCATAAATTAAAAAAGTGTCCTCAGTTTAATGCAAAATACAAGACAAGCAGGTGCTGGTCAATTCTTCAATGTGAATTCAATGTTATCTTTTATTGTTGTATACTGTAAACTGTGTGCAGAACTGGGAGGATGTTTACATGAAATATAGGTGCCTTGATCTTGAAAATATTCTAAATATTCAAGAGCCCCATGACTGTTTATTTGATAGTAAAGCATTTTGATAAAGTTCATAGTTTTTGTTCTTTTGATTAAGGGACCAGTATTATAGTTTGATTTATTTATTTTTATAAATTTTTATGACAAGGAAAATTCTGCCATATAAATATAGTTCTACGAAAGATGAATGTAATGAAATATTTAAGGAAATTTAAAATCTAAATACATATAAAAGAGGAATTGGAGCCATTATTATAAAAATATTCATGTCTTGGATATGGAAGCCAGAAAGGATCATTTTAAAAGAGAATTTTTAATTATAAATTTTGAAATATAGTTGGTTGTTTTTCTACTAGCAAGTAGGCACCGTATCTGATAACAATGATATTTCATTTAATTTAAAAAATCTAAAATTATTAGAGAAAGTGGTTCATCCAAAGTGCCACGTATCGAATTCCTGTGGATAAATACACGTAAGCACAGAAAGACATTTATACAGAACTCACACACCGGTCTCTGTGCTGGCTTCTCACCTACTTTCTCTCTCTGCAGCTGCACTGACACGTATGCAGTGACATCCTTTATTTCCGTACTGGAGCTGAAAAGACCGAGGTTAATGGACTTGTCCAAAGTAACAGCAATCATATGTAGAGTAGCTGGGCTTTGAAGTCAGTCAGTCAGACTCCAGAACCAGTGCTCTGGATGCCTCTCCTTATAGCTCAGTGTGCACCAGTAAGCCACACCCTCTAGTTAAACTGTACAGCCTCCAAGACATACGGTTGGTCCTTCACATCTATGGATTCAACCAACCACAAAAAAAATTTTTTTAAATGCATCTGTGCTGGACAAGTAACAGACTTTTTGGTCATTATCCTCTAAACAATACAGTCATACAGGAAAATGGCTATTTATGCTCTAATCAGTACTATAAGCAATCTAGATATGAGTTAAAATATACAGGAAGTGTGCAGGTTATATGCAAACATCACACCATTTTCTACCATCACTGTCACAATTACCTTAACAGTATTTCTCAATATGTTAATGCACAGTGGTGTCAAATTATTTCAAAGAATTTATTTTAGTGACCTGTAGAAATCTATCAAGTGTATGTTCTTTGAGATTTACCTTAATCTTGGATTGCATTAGTTACAGCAGAAGTCAGTAAACTTTCTGTAAAGGGTGGAATGGTAAAGATTATATTTTTGTGTGCATATATTTTTGTCTTAACTACTGAAATCTGCTGTTGTAGCACAAAACAGCTGCAAATAATACCTAAATGAAAAGATAATACATATATAAATGTATGGCTGGGTACAAATAAAATTATTGACAGGAATAGGTGTTGGGCCACATTGGCCAATAGATTGTAGCTTCGACCCTTGGATCATTTTCTTTTTGCCTGGTATCCAGCCATGTTACTTAACTACTCTCAATTCTTGAAATAAATGCTTCCATTCTACAATCTTTCTTTTTTAAAAATTGTATATTTTTATTACTACGTTTGCACTACATAGTGACATTTACTGTGTGGCATTTCTATGTGCACATGACACATCTTAATTCTTTTTGTCCCCCTCTCATCCCTCCCTGTCCCTTTCAACTCTTGACCCTGTTCTCATTTGAAAAAGCTCTATTTCCACTTTTTATTCTTTTTAATACTTTTCTCTTCCTTCCCTCCTTTTTTATCTCTTGTTCCCCTTCCCATTTGAAAAAGATTTCCCTACTTCCTATTATCTATCCTTTACTTTGCTCTTTATTTCTATTTTAGGTTTGTCACACAAGAGAATCCATGAGATATTAAACTTGTGTGCTGATTTATTTCATTTAACATTATAGTCTCAAGTTGCACACATTTACCTATAAATGTCTCAAGTTTACCATTTTTTATGACAAAGTAGTAGTCCACTGTGTATTAATACTACATTCTCTTTGTCCATTCATCTAATGGACATATAGACTATTTCCAAGATATAGCTATTATAAATTGTGCTGCTATATATACATGTATGGATATATCATTGTAATATGATGACTTTAACATTTTTGGGGAGATACTGAAACTAGAAGGAGAGTATCTAGGTCAAATCGAATTTCTACTTTTAGTTTTTCAGGAATCTCCATGTTGATATTCATAGTGGTTGTACTAGTTTACACTCCCATCAACAAGGTGGAAGGATTCTTTATTCCCCATAGCCTCGGTAGCATTTGTTAATAGACTTCTTGGCCACTCTTTCTGGAATAAGATGGAATCTCAGTGCTGTTTAAATTGTATTTCTCTAATGGTCAGCAATGGTGAACATTTTTTCATATATTAGCCATCTGTACATCTTTGGGAAAGTATCTAATTATTTCAGATATCCATTTTTTGATAGGATCTTTTGTTTTGGGGGAATATAATTTTTCTGAGTTCTTTATATATTCTTGATGTTGATAGTGGACATCTTTGTCTTGTTTCTGATTTTAGAGGGAAACTTTCAGTTTTTCTTCATTTAATGTGGTATTGTCATAAATGGCTTTTATCAAATTTAGATAAGATCCTTTTGTACCTACTTTCTTCAGAGGGTTTTTTTGGGGGGGTTGGTTCTTTGAGACAGGGTCTCACTGTGTAGTTGAGACTGACCTAGAACTATGTAGCCCAGGCTGGTCTTGAACTCATAGCAATTCTCCTGCCTCAGCCTCCCGAGGGCTGGGATTACAGGTGTGCGCCACCACGCCCGACTTACTTTCTTCAATTTTAATCATGAATGAATGTTACATTTTGTTAAGGGCTTTTTCACCATCTATTGAGATGATCATATGATTTTTGTCCTTGCTTTTGTTACTGTGATAAATTACATGTATTGATTTATGTACATTGGACCATCCTTGCATCCCTGGAATGAAGCCGACTTGGTCATGGTGTATGATCTTTTTGATGATTTGTTGCATTCTGTCTTCCATTATCTTGCTGAGGATTTTTGCACCTATATTCATTACAGTGACCTGTAGTTCTCTTTTTTGCTTTGATCCTTGTCTGGTTTTGAAATAGGGTAATTCTAACTTCCAGGAGTGACTTTGGGGGTATTCCTTCTCTTTCACTTTCATTAGAGAATTTGAGGAGTATTGACATTAGATCTTTCCTGAAATCATTGTAGAATTCAGCAGTGAATCCATCATGTCCTGGGCTTTTCTTAGTTGATAGTTTTTTGTTTCACTGCCCCAGTTTCATTGCTTGTTATTGGATTACTCAAGATTTTTAAGTCTTCTTGGTTCAGTTTTGATAATTCAGATACATCTAGGAATCTTTATTTCTTCTGAATTCTACAATTTAATTGATACACAGGTTTATGAAGTAATTTGTAATAGTATTCTGGATTTTGGCAATGTCAAAAATTGTGATTTCACCTCCCCCCAACCCTTTGTTTGGTACCGGTGATTGAACTTGGGACCGTGTACTTGCAAGGCAGGTGGTGGAACCACTGAGCTAAATCCCCATCCCCTCACCTTTTTTGTTTCTGACTGAAATGATTTGTGTCTCCCCTCTCCCCTTTTTGATAAGACTGGGTAAGGGTTTGTCTGTTTCATTTATTCTTTCAATGAACCAGCTCTTCAACTCACTGATATTTTTTTGTTATTTTTTTCTCTATTTCATTGATTTCTGCTCTGATCTTTATAATTACCTTCCTTGTATTAGCCCTAGATTCAGATGATTCTTATTTCTCTAGAACCTTGAGGTGTATCATTAGGTTATTTGGGCTTGCTCTCTCCTTTTCTGATGTGGACATTCATAACTATGAACTTTCCTCTTAGGATTGTTTTCATTGTGTACCATAAGTTCTGGTATATTGTATTGGCATTATCATTTAATTCTAGGAATTGTCTTATTTATCTTTTAATCTCTTCTGTGATCTATTATTTAAGAGTATACAACCTCTTACTTTCAATTATTCCTTCATGAATAACCTATTCTATAAACACTGCAGTCCACTATGTTAACCTAATACCAACCATATTTCAGTTTTACAATTTGCCTTTATTTTTCTTTGCTCTGAATTTATATTTCCCAAAGACAAGCAGTTATAGTTGTTTCTCTTGCATTTCTTTCCTTATATTGCCATTTTTATATGATTTTAACCTTATCTAAAAATCCTCTGCTCAAATATTTTTTGTACTTAAGGAATTGTGGTCATCCTTGTTTAAAATCTTTAGCATACAACTGGTTAACCTCTTATTGAATATAGTCTTTTCTTTTAGGTGACACTCTACCACATTTAGCAAGCTACTCTCTTCAAAAGCCAATAGGGTCTAGAGGCAAGATATGCCTCAGCAAATTACTTGCAAAGACGGATGTTGGTCTCTAGAATTACTGAATCTCTGAAAAGATCCTGGCCTTAGCCAGGAGAATTGGCAACAAGCCTTATATGCATTGTAATACCTGCATCCCATTCTGTGCAGTGCCCTTCCCATCTCAATCCAGCTTATGTCTGTGTGCTTTCCCTTAGAGCAGCTCCTACTCCCTTACCTTTCTCCTCTGCTAATATTTCCAAATTCTAAACTCTACCTGCCATGGACAAACTTGATGTTGACAAAGGTTTTCAGTTATATGCATGAAGGCTGATAGATTATTGAGATTTACTACATGCTTTAAATTCACTGCTTTTCCAATTCAGCAATTTAGCTGTAGCTACGGAGAAACGTGATTTGTGTGATCCATCCTGCTTTATGTCTCATTTGACATTCTGCCTTTTTCATGACAGGTTGCTGAATGCAATAAAGCCAGGACTTGTTAAAAAGATCAATAGATTGCCTACCCCCATTGCAGGATTGGTGAGTATCCAGAATCGAGATTTATATTCCAATATTCCTTTGCTCTAACCTAAGGGTCATGACAATACCATTTATTACAGTCTCTCCTGCAATTTATACCCTACTTGAATGAGAATGCAGTGAATCCATTAAATGAAGAGGTCACTTAAAAATGAAAAATTCCAGTGATATCTAAATGGCATCTTAATCTTTGTTTGTATTTTTTTCCATGAGTGATAAAGTCCTTTGGCCTTCAAGAGGTAAATTTGTTTTGGAGTGAGAGGCTGATAATTGGGTTGACCCTAGGGGAGGAATGTGATTTTAATTACATTTTGTTTCAGTGCCTCACTGCATTCCCTGGCTTCAGAGGGCAGGGAAGGTGGAGAAAAAGGATTTCAAGAGAAAGTGGCAGTTTCATAATCAATTGCTGTTTTAGCCTACTTGAGTTTAAATATCACTAGTCTAACTATTTGTAGATCAACCATTCTAAAGATGTAACAGCCACTGACATGGACCGATGTCATGGAAAGAACTGTTTATACACAGCTTTTGCCTTTCTCAAACTGTTCATCTGAAAAACTATAGAACGTCATTAGAAGCAAGATTTTTTTTCATGTATTGATATGTTAATTTCTGGCAACTCACTTTAATTATTTAATTGATATTGTCTTGTGTGTTGAAAAAGGAAAAAGCCAGGCATGGTGTCACATACCCATAATCCCAGCTACTTGGAAGGCTGAGGCAAAAGAATAGTAAGTTCAAGGCCCACTTGGTCAACTTAGGCTCTGTCTCCAAAATAAACATTTTTAAAAAGGGCTTTTGCTGAGTGGTAGAACACTTGCCTGGTGTGCATGAGGCTCTGGATTCAATCCCCTGAGATGCACAAAAAGAAAAAGGAAAAAGGTGGGATATCAGGAAGACAATCCTTTTTTTTTTTGTTTTTTGGTTTTTGTTTTTTTTTTTTTTTTTCAGCCTTTATTAACCAAGAGTGAAACCAAACCCTAGAGTTTAAAAATCCCAACTTTTTTTTATGACAAATAATGATTTAATTCTTAATGACTTTTAATTCTATGTTCAATACCACAAAACAAAAATTGACTGCTTCCCATTCTTCTGAGAATAAAATACAAGTGTAAAACAGGTTAAAACAAGATTCACCCCAATGACTTAAAAAATAACTCCAATTGAAAGACATTTCAAACACTGTATGTAGAACTCAGGACCAAAATAACTTTAAAACATTTTTACCTTTGAGGTAGCACAATAATGCTGAATTAGGTACCATTTATTACAAGCTTTAAAAAAAATGAGGACTCTACCCTTCAATCAAGGTGGGCTAAATGATTTTCTGAAAATCCCGCATGAGGTTAGTGACAGTTATCTTACTATTTCTTTTTTTATGTATAAAGATAGCCCTGCCAGTATGTAAAAGGAAACCCATGGGAAGGCTGCTTCCCATAAAATAGACATTAGAATCACTGAGGAATGTCAGCATTCAAGACAGGAGGAACAAGAGATAATAATAGTGAAAAAGCAAAACAACTTGTATCTTGGCAAGACTGATTTTACAAATACATGTCAAAAACAAAAATTCCAAGTCAGCCCATTGAAAACAAAAGACAAAAGATGACATTTGTGGGTCCTTTTCCTTTGTCTTTGTGCAAAATGCTTCCACTTTTTCTAAGTGAGAGAAGGCTGTACTCTGTGACATGACACAACACGCTATGTCCATGGTGCCCTGCCCTGAATCAGGGTGCTCAGGATGAAAACCATCTCTCCTAGCTGGAGGACTACTTCCCACTTTGTTGCTGAATTCATTTGCTAAGCTACTCAAAGAAAAGCTGTCTTCTGGTTTCTGAGATTACACAGCAAGTGTGTATAATTCTACATGAAGACCATGGACCAACAGGAGAAGAACACACACAAAACTTTCCTTCAGAAAATTCAGCCAATGGCTAAGGATTTGGCTCTGTGGTTCCGCCACCTGCCTTGCAAACACAAGGGCCCAGGTTCGATCCCCAGTACAAAAACAAAAACAAAAACAGAAAGAAAGAAAAAGAAAAAAGATTTTTCAGCCAAGAAAAGACAGTGACAAAAACAGGGCTGAAGGGAGGAAAACACTGCAGGTTGGACTTCAAGCCTAAGCCTCTCAGAAACATTCTGTGGCATCCAAAATCAGAAGCAAAGATAGGAAAGAAGGCATAAAGCTCCAACCTTTAAAAGAAAACATGAAAACAACAAAGGAATCACTTTCCAACATGCATTCTTCCCTGTGAGGCTCAGCTGTCAGTTCAGGTTCTCTTGGCACAATGGGGACACCTCAGACCTAGGTCAAACCTGGTCTGTCACCTCTGATTCTCCAAGCTACAAAGGGAACTGGAACACTATGATAATGGATTTGCTCTTTCTCATTCATGCTGGTCCCTTTTATGTCTCTTTCCTTCAAGCTAGAGGCTCACCCTCTTAATCCTCTGTGAGTCCCAGGGGACTCACATTCAGTGAGGGTCTGGACTGATGAGGTTATGTCCATTGGAGTTGGAGCAGGAGGACATGAACATGGTGAATTCTAACCTGTAAAATGGTAACTATCAATGCTTCAGGGTGTCAAGGAGGGCTCTGTGAAAGGAAAGACATAGGTGGATTTGTGAGAAGGCCCATACCTAGCAGTAACTGGCACAGGATTCAAACAACTCTAACTAATGCTGGCATGAAGGAGTGGCAGAGGGCATCTCAGCATTCAAACGCAGTCCTAACAAGGTCAGAGGCTGGACTTCTGGGTCACTCTTGACCAATGCAACTGCTATCTCTGCAAGAAACAGATGTGGTTCTTATCTGGTAAAGTACAAGACCTGCTTTCTGAATTTATTTGATAATAAAGCAACACCATAGAAAAAAGAACTTTAGGAAAATGTGGGATCACCACATGGGCTTTCCCAGTATTAGTTACATAAAACCTTTCATGATTCTCAGAGTTGCAACATAGGTTACAGGGCAGTCTGAAAAAGAGTCATACTTCATGGATCCCTTGTAGCATCTGATCCTAAATCACTCTGAAGAAAAATATAATTCTGAAATATAGCTAATTAGGATAATTCATTAGAATTTTACCTGTTAAAATTAAAAGGTTAAAAATGTTATAAATATAAGTTAAATTACTGTCTTTGGAGATGAGCAATTAGAACCCCAAATATCCCAACATCTTAATTAAAAAGGCTTTCATGGTAATTCTATAAAACTGTAAATGATGACTTTTGGTTTTGTGTGGTCCTAAGGACTGAACCCAGGGCCTCATGCTTGTTGGATAAGTACACTACCACTGAGCTATATCCCCAGTTCCAAATGATGTCAATTTTTGAAAAGAGTTGAACTTTAGAATGAATGTCTGAGGCAGTTGACAAGCTCATATAGATGAATACATCCCAAGGGGGATTCCCCTAACAGAGAAATACATTTTTTTTTTTTTTAGACAGGTCTCACTCTGTAGTTCAGGGGGCCTTGAACTCACAGAAATCTTCCTGCCTTAGCCTCCTGAGTGCAGGGACTACAGGTGTGCTCCACCACACCCAGCCAAGAAATACTTTCTTAAAAGAAAAGAGAGGAGGAGAGCTTCTAAATAATTCAAAAATTGATAGTTCAACAACCAAACTAGGCAATAACTTGAGCAGAAGGAACGGGCTGGGCTGTCTGTGCAGTACTTCTTGTCAGCATACTGCCATTAGCTAGTAGAAGCAACTGGAAATAAGAAATAGCCAGACCTGCTGAAGGAAATGTTTAGTTTAGATAAAGTAATGGCACCTCCAGACTCTGGATACTTCTACTGGCACCATGCTCTAACCAAATGAACTAAATGGCCACCCCAGCTCCTCATAAATGGATGACACAATTCATTCATTCATGGAAACTGCAGAGGTTAAACAAAACATTCACCAAAACAAAAGTGAAAACCTCTAACCCAGAAAACGTTTCCTTGCTATTATGGGTAAAATGTGCTGAATTCAATTATTTTTGCCCTAACGTGGGTTCTTCTAACCTCAGTCTGCTTTGGAGTACTAACCTGTCATGCTTTTCCGTAAGCATCACCATGGATTTGCAAACAGCCATAATGTGTGAAGCTGTTAGCAGGCCGAATAATGCCAGTGGACCACATACCTCCATCATATCTGGTATCATTTTCTACTATAAAACCAAAGGCAGCAATTGTGAACACACTGTGGGACAGATGAAGAGACTGAAGGCTACATTTCTTCCCCTGAAAAAGATGGGAGCAGGGTGTCTACAGTTATACACCGGTTTCTGCAGACTTTATGGTAACTTCCAAAAGCAAAAGTAGCTGCAAGAGTTAGGGAAGGAAGATGTTTACACTTTGGACTTTATATCAGGCACTTAAATTGTTGGAGAGACATGCCATTCTAAATCAAAGATGTAAAAACTGGGTTGGAGTAATCATTATAAGTGGTTTAATAATGGGCTTTCAGAAGCAAAGTGCAGGTGTGGGTCAAACCTCTGCTCATACTTTAATACTTTAGAATTTTCTAAATGCCCAAAACCACATCAATCACAGCAGTGGTGGCAAAAGCAGGAACAGTTCTGTCATGTCTATTTTTTGTATGTGTTCTGTGGCTGGCCAGAAAGGCCTGGTGTCACACTGAGAAGGCTCTGGGATGTGGCATATCTGTTGTCCAGGATTGGTCAGATCCAAGCTGGAGCCCAACATCTTCACTACCTATTCTTCAAAGTGTGAGATGTTCCTCTTCATTATGTCCATGAAGGGCCCCAGAAGTCTCTCAAATGTTTGAACATCCATACTAAGCAGATGACATTTCCAACTGCATAAACCGAAGCAGCTCTAGATTTGTTGGTGACCAGTGCAAACTCTCTAAGTACTGCCTCTTGTGGCAGTGGGCAATCTCATCCTCCTGGCTCCCAACATCCTTGTTTGTTTTAGTTTTGCTCCTAACCATGATGGGCACTTCACCAGACTTGATGATGTAAAAGCTGTCAGCCTTATCACCCTGATTATA